ACAGCCCAAGAGAGGAATAAAATAACAGAAACATGAAACCGGGAAACGACCAGGTAAACTAAACCATAATAAAGGTGTCAAAATACACACCAAAGATCATTGTTATTTGGCGTGTTTGCTGCCGAGGGATCTTGTTCTCGTTTTTGGGTGCACGCTCAGGTATTTAATTTCGATTGAAATACCGCTGAAACGGTGCGAGTTTGAGGAAGAATTCAAGCAAAACTGAGTTCTATAAAATTCATCTAAACAAACACATCAGTTCCATTTATAAGAATGAAATTTTCATGTGAATATATATTTTATTTTTATTTTCAAAATACTATACAATTCAAACATCGTTTTCACACCTTCAGCTGTTCCGCAAAACAACTACACTTACTCAAAAATCGTTGCTCATTTTCCTGTCCCAAGAGGTCCTGTTCATGCTTCCTTTATAGCACAAAGCCATGTGTTCTGTGACTCATAATGCATGCATCGTTTGCTCTGGTCTTTGTCATTCATGGCTCATGTATCCTTCGTTGGATCTTGCATCATTTCGAACAACAATGACCGGAGAGATGCTGCCACCCTTGTATTGTTACAGTGATCGTCGCATCGTCACTCACCGAGATATCATAATCCAAATAATCCAAACATGGTGACAAAGAAGGGAAGGTGTCCTTTTTTGAGAATTAGAGGCGTGTGATCGTGCAGTGTGAGATCAAGCGCATTTTTGCTATACATAGGTACTTCGTTTGAGGATTGTTTGCAGAGCATTTCAAGGGATTTTCTAGGATTTGGCTATAATAGGAAGAGGCCCATGCCCATGGCTCATGTTTGAATGAACTTTCTAGATATGATTGATGTTGAACATAAAATCAATAATAGTTTCCTTTTGACCAACAACAGCTCAACACGGATGATGTATGATAATATTAAGAATACAGTTTCTAAGTAAATAACAAAGTCTTGTATTCATCAAAGGACTCACCAGATTTCCAGTGGTAAATTTCGTGAGATTTCGGGATCGTTTCAAACACAGTTTTTGAGTAAAATGTATGAACATGTTAAGTAATTTTAAATAGTCAAGCACAAGTGAAAACGAAATTTATAGATGGATGATGTTCCCGATGATGTTCCCGAAAAAAAAAATTAGTCAATTCCTTTTTGATCTGATCCAGGGATTCCCTAATATAAAATATTTCAAAATTCTTTACTTGTCGGCTGGTGGCTTTCCAAAACCTTTAAATAGATCTATCTCCGTAAATATGGCTCTTATCGCGATTTGGGGGGTGTTCAGATGGTCGAAATTTTTATACCCGGATTTCCCAGTATGAAATATTTCAAAATTCTTTACTTGTCGGCTGGTGTATTTCCCAAACCTTAATCGATTTTTTTTTTCGTAAATATCCCAAGTAACAATCAAAATGCTTGAAAGATTTATTCTTATTTTATTATTGTTTTATCATAGCATCACTGGCAGCCTATGGTTGTATGATGGTTTTATGTGGTGGCTTTAAAATTAGGCATTTAAGAAGTTTTTAAAACTATTTTATAACTACCAAATTAAAACTCAGCCTTTATAGTTTTAACTATGGCTGTAAGGTGGTTCTGTATTCCTCTTTAAAACTGAAGAATAAAACATGCAACTAAGATTTGTAACATACTTTTTCATGACCATTATAAAACTTTAAGCACTAATTATACTTCATTATAACCACTATAAAACTATCATTCTTATCAGAGGCCTAAGATTTACAGATAGGTAAAACATCATAACAATAACAAAAAATACTCTATAAATCGTTACAAATAACCATAAATTTCATTATGAGTGCGTGGAAATTATATAAATCGAGTGGAACGTTTAAAAGAAAAGTGAAGATGCATTTTCGAAAAATAATGGATTCGTCGACGCAGAACAGCATCATAATAAATGAACATCAAGCTATGGATGCAACGCCATCAAATCCAGTTGTTCCGGATGCTGAAAATACAATACTGGAAAAATTCGATACCAGGAATGATGTTGGCACTTATGTCGACGCACATAATCAAATTGATTTAGATTTGACAGATGATAACCTTTTCAGTGATTCTGAGTATGAGGAGGAAGAGACGATTGCTAATGTGGAACTGCTGGAGGATCTACAGTTGTGGGCTCTCGCACACAACATAAGGCACAGTGCAGTGAAAGAGCTCCTAAAAATATTAAATAAGCGGCTTTCCGATACGCTTCCGCAAGATCCACGAACCCTTCTTAAAACTACGCAGGCAGTTTCACTGATTCCGGTTGGAGATGGCCAGTATTGGCATCACGGCTTTAAACCATGCATTGAAAAAGTTTTTAGTGGAATAGTGGAGCCAATAAGCATTTCCATAAAGATAAATATGGACGGTCTACCTGTCTACAAGAGTTCTAAGGACGAGTTTTGGCCCATCCTTTTCAATATCGTTGAACATCCCTATATTAAACCTATGGTTATAGGGATCTACAGTGGAAAACACAAACCAACGGATTTAACAGCATTCCTGAACCCGTTTGTTGAAGAAATGAAGGACGTTTGTGAAAAAGGTTTATTGGTCAATGGACACAAAATTACCATAACTATTCGATGTATCGTATGCGATTCACCGGCTAGAGCCTTTGTAAAGGGTAGGTAATATTACACTTGGTATATGAACATTAGGGTGTTTCATTTTGAAAAAAGTGATGAATTTTTGATAGGCCACCCTCCAGTTCGATTCATAGCCCCAAAATATGAACCTGTGCAAAAAATGGTAAAGATTGATGAAGGTTTAGAGGTCGCGCCAATGATTTGGATTTTGTATGGAGATTTTGGTGAATTAGTATGGGAAATTATTGATTTTCGTTTACATTGCTCTAACTTTGGTTGTAGTTGTCCAAACGTTGAAAAAAAAAATATGTGGTTGTCATGACAATGATCAACAAGCCTGTTGTTGTTGCGATGAAATTGGCGTTGTTGCCTTGTACATATTCATCTGTCAATTTACCCTATTTTGCCATTTTTTCACATTTTTATAATTCTTGATACGCTGCAAAACTGAGCGTAGCAACTGTAGGCTTTTTGTTTATTGCCATAGCAATAACATACTAAATTTTTTCGACATTTGGACAAGTAGAAGCAAAGTTATAGCGATATAAGCGATTTTTTAAATTCTTCCATAGTAATTCCCATACAAATTTCAAATCATTGGCGCGACCTCTAAACCTTCATCAATCTTTACCAATTTTTGCACAGGTTCATATTTTGGGGCTATGAATCGAACTGGAGGGTGGCCCATCAGAAATTCATCACTTTTTTCAGAATGAAGCACCCTAATGAACATAGCATTAAATTTTTATTTTATTTTTATTCAGGAGTAGCGAATTTCAATGCTCAGAATGGATGCCAAAAGTGTTGTACGCAAGGAGAATATTCGTACGTATCACATACAAATTATTATCCCCAGACCGATTGTCCAAAGCGAACTGATGTCGGATTTCGAAATAAAATCTATGGAACTCATCACAAAAACGACTCACCGTTGCTGAGGCTTCCAATAGACATGGTCAAGGATTTCGCAATAGGGGATTCGCTTCACCTAATTGACCTTGGCATTATGAAGAAATTACTACTTGGATGGCGAGATGGAAAAGTTGGCACTTATAGAACGAAGTGGCCAGCTCAAGTAACAGCCGAGATATCTAAAAAACTGTTGCAGCTTCGGATGCCTGTAGAGATACACCGATCGATTCGTGGTTTGGATTGTCTTTCTCATTGGAAAGGTCTGGAATTTCGTACATTCTTGCATTATGTTTCTATTGTCATCCTTAAACCTGTACTGCCACCGGATGTATATGAACATTTTCTAGTGTTTTTTTGTGCAATCACCATTTGTTCGTCAGAGGTGTATTCTTCAATGCTTGATTTAGGACACCTGTTGTTAGCACACTTTATTGAACTGTTTAAAAATGTGTACGGTGAAGATTATATAACGAGCAATGTTCATAACCTCATACATTTGGTCGATGACGTGAAGCGATTCGGTCCATTGCATAAATTCAACGCTTATCCTTTTGAAAGTAAGCTGTTTGAGATCAAAAACCTAATTCGAACCGGTAGTAAACCGTTAATACAGATCGCTAAACGCCTGAGTGAGTTGAATCATGTTACCAAAAACGCCAATTTAACTCCTAAATCTAACCAACCTTGAAAAACGAGATCTTTTCACAATCGGCAAACAATGATCGAAGTCAAGCAAATTCTTCAGGCAACCCTAGAATATTCTCTAAAATACAATTGGAAAATTTTTCGTTGAGCACCGATCACAATAATAAATGGTTCTTAACAACTGATAATCATATAGTGGGGCTTATTACGGATGTCACGTCACGGTGAAAAGTTGTCACTTGTCGTCACGGTGAAGTGATTCCGATTTGATTTGTACGGTAATCACGGCTCTTATTCTGAGTATCACTTGCTTATCACCGTGTAGTGACACCCGTAATAAGGCCCAGTAGCTTTGAAGTGTATAACTGAACAGCATGGATTAGTTGAAATAACAGGTTCTAGCTTAAATCGCTTAAAATCCTTTTTCGAGACACCGATACGATCAAATGTACTTAATATCTATCAATCTGATTGTAAATCCAGTTCTGTAAAACCGCATGATCTTTCAAAAGTTAAATGTAAAATGGTCTGTATTCCCCTTAATGATACTGATTCTGTTTTTTCCCCACTGCTGCATACTTTGTGAACAAGTCTTTCATTAGAGAAAAAATAAAGAATAAAACCAAGAACGAGTCAAATTTATTTTAATCGATTAAACATTACAGATGAAAAAATCTGCTACCACATCTCCAATCAGGTCCATTAAATACATAGGTAGATGTGCCAGTTACGGCTATACGTGCCTATCATGGTGTGTTCCTGTCATGGCCTATAGGATTTCCACAGGCTATAACTGGAACAAACCCTTAATAGGAACGTATAACCATAACTGGTGTATTTACCCTATTATTGAGGATTCTGTTCAGCTTGCTGTTGACGGGCATTATACACTAAATTTTTCGGACGATTCTTATGCTTGGACACTGTTTTAGCTAGCAATCTTTGCTTGCTGTTTTTCAGTACCCGTTTAAAAAACTCTTCACATTTGATAGCTGTGAAGTCGTTATCTGCCTGCAGGACCAGCTTCAAAAACAGCTGTCGAATTTTCTTGTACATCATAAACGGAACTTTAATCTGCGGCTCAGACTCTCCATTTGACTCTTCAGCAGCAGCATTGTCTCTTGAGATCCCTGTCATTAAGCATTTCCAGTGATTCAATAGGTTTCAACAATACATCTGAATGGACTCCTGTGGCGTTTCCAAGAGAGCCTGATTCGATTTGCAGGACCCTATCATTGATGTAATCCATGCTGGCTTTCAATTGAGCGAGGCTGTTGATTATTTTTGCCTGATTACCAATAATCAATGTTTGGTTCGATACAACGTCCTCCAATGATACTGACTGATAGCTGATGTTGTTGTCGATCGACTGAATCAAAACTCTGCCTCCACTTGTATTTTCTCCAGGATCTTAATTAATTAATTTAGCTTTATTTAGGAGGCTTTCAGCCTTAGGCTGGTTCGCCTCCAATTCTCCAGGATCTTGTTCAATTTGCGGTACGTATACAAAATTCTGCATGGCTCCATCGGACAGCTGCAAAGTAACCTAAAAGGAAATTTACGATTAGATAAATTGAGAATAAATCACATATTTTAGTTTAACTTACCGAAGAGTCTTGAACTTCGTCTGGCACTGGTTGAAGGTAATCCGTTTGGATTTCAAGCGGGACATTAGGATTAGCAGGCGTTAGGAAGTCGTTGAAGTTTTTCGGCACATGTTTTGTTACGCTCGAATTTGAGACACCGTTTTTGCGTGTCTTTTTGGCAGGAACCATAATCCTCTCTTCTGCCTCGGTATCGGAAAGCGGTTCCATCTTTTCATGTTCTGCTTCTGCCTCCAGCCTGGTGCGGTATTCTCGCTTCTTGGTGTACTCCATCCGTTGCCATTTGGACGTGGGACGCGAATGTTCATCACGCAGCAATTTAGCAGCACTTGTTGCCTTTGGCCACCATAATTTATTCTCTTTCTCCCAGCCCGAAGGGACAACACTGAGGCACTGCTCACCGTCTTCGAATGTTTGAACAATCTTGAAGGGCATGCTGTGAATTACAAATATTAATGTTAGATAATAATAGCACAAATTAATTTGAAAATTTACTTGATTTGAGAGCTGGTTTCCCTTTTGTTTTGCTTACAATCAAACCGATGGTTGCTGTGATTAAAGCAGAATGGTAGCGGCCTAAGATGAAGAGGAGACAATAGGGGGCCTTTTATGAACCATTTTTTTTTGTAAATCGCGAACCAGTGCCTGATTGGTCGGGCGATAATTTTTACAACAGGGCATCTATTTTCTTGTATTTTGAAAGTCGACTGCGTCGCCCATAATTAAATAGTTTTTGCACGGTCTTTTCCGCGAGAGAAGAAGAAACCGTCACAGACAAAAGAAAGCCATTTGTCTCCTCTTCCTCTTAGGTAGCGGCAGTGGAAGTCAATTAATGTGTTTGTTTTGTTTTGATTCTATACGTAATATAACCAGCAAGCAATCCATACAACCAACATAAAACTTAACGCTCTCAAGACAGACTAGGAAATGCTAAGATATAACAGTTAGCTTTATGTTATGCTTTAAAATTTTATCCTAGGAGAGTGTGTCATATTGAGGCATTTCAGCGGAGCGACAAGTTATATAGTAAAAAAATGTCGCCGTAGGAGAAAATTTTACATAATATGACGAAGCATTCCCTGGATGGATAAGAAAAAACACAGTCATACAACTATTTATAATGCAACAATATGTGTCTGATCATTGTTCAACGGCAGAAACATTTTTTTTCTTAAATTGAATATATTTTAATGATTTTTCAAAATACGGTGCTAATGTAATCGAAATAAAAATATTCCTATATTTTAATATATATGAGGCGCAGTGAATTTATGCTACTATTTAGTATAATATTCACCATAAATAATAAACGGCATGATCTCAAACGTATTCAAGTGGATTAAAAATGGTAATTAAACCGTCTTATTTTCAATATGCTAGAATATATTGTTTTACACATTGACATTAATTATGATTTCATATATCGAACATCAAAAGAATAAAACCATAATAAAATTATAATCAATGCAACCCATCAACCAAATAAATCCAAATTAAAACCATCAAAGTTATCAAAATGGTTTTGCATATGAAGTTTTATCAACTTTTTCAGGAGCTATTTATGCAGTTGTAACATAGCTTTATAGTAGTCTTCAAGAGGTTGGATTGACTTTCTGGCCAGGAAAAAGTTTTAAGCATACTTTTTCTACAACCACCTGAAGTATATGATATAACTGATATAAAACCGATGCTCCTAAGCTGGTTCGCATATCAAGTTTTAATGGTTGCATTACAACTGGGCCAATTGGCCATGAGATGGCTATATAGCGGTCATCAGGAGGTTGTTAAAACAATGTGGTCGTCAGTAAAAGTTTTATAATTTGGCTTTATCAACTGCTATAAAAGTTCGATAAAACAAAAATTGTTGCTTGGGTATGGCTCTAATCGCGATTTGGGGGGTGTTCAGATGGTCGAAATTTTGATACCTGGGTTTCCCAGTAGAAAATATTTCAAAATTTTTCACTTGTCGGCTGGTGAATTTCCCAAACCTTTAAATCGATTTATCTCCGTAAATATGGCTCTAATCGCGATTTGGGGGGTGTTCAGATGGTCGAAATTTTCATACCCGGATTTCCCTGTGTAAAATATTTAAAATTCTTCCCTTTTCGGCTGGTGGATTTCCCAAACCTTTAAATCGATTTATCTCTGTAAATATGGCTCTAATCGCGATTTGGGGGGTGTTCAGATGGTCGAAATTGTTATACCCGGATTTCCCAGTATAAAATATTTCAAAATTCTTCCCTTTTCGGCTGGTGGATTTCCCAAACCTTTAAATCGATTTATCTCCGTAAATATGGCTCTAATCGTGATTTGAGGGGTGTTCAGATGGTCGAAGTTTTTATACCGGGATTTCCCTGTATAAAATATTTCAAAATTCTTTACTCGTCGGCTGAATGATTTTATTTAAATCTATCAATGACAAAGTTATAAGCGTTCAAAACCTAACACCTCTTCGCAACGGTCGCAATTTAAGATTTTTAATAACGTAGTCTACGTCAAAAATTAGCAATGGAATATGTAAAATGATTTTAAACTAGATCAACCCAAAAGTTGGTCAATGAGCACCGTATTTGGCTCATGATCAATTTGAATAAATTTAAGTGCCTATTATGAAATCTAACTCTGATTTAAATCTAACAAATCTCCAGCTAGTACAGATCAATAAAAGATGTTTTTTAAATTTTTAGCATTTTTTTTTTTTAATTTCCTTCAAATGTCTTGATTGTTATTTGAACTGATACCGAGAAATTTTTCCTAAAGCATGAATTAAAATTAACATCAAATTAATTAGACAATTGATTAATGATTGAAAAAAACTATGATTATCAATTTTATACATTAAAATTGCAGAAAGATTATTTCCATTCTGTGTTCATTGTAAGCTGCTCTTGTTCACAGTTTGGAAAATTTGAGTTCGGTTCGGTTTTGAAATAATAAACAAATCGCCAACAGTTAGGACCAATTTGGTTTAAGATAGCGACCATGTTAATTTTAACAACATTAGGATTTTAAAATAAATTGTGGCAAGCTAATCAAAATGATTTTTTTTTAACTGTCAAATGTCGTGAAAATTTCCGGTTAAACTTATGACGATATTTTCGTTCAAAATTGTGACCTTTTTCTTTAAAAGCAGTAGAAATATTTTTTTGATTGTCTGCCCATTTGTATTTGAAAATTGAATCAATAAGAATCAATATAGAAGGATGTGTTTAATTCCGTTAAATATAGTAATCAAGTTTATTAGAATCTGTGGCCAATTTATTTTATAAATTTGACCAATTTCGTTTAGATCAAGACCAATTCAATTAAAAGATTGGCATCTGAGTTTGATATATTTTTAAAATCATCCCGTTAGCAGTTGAGGGGAATTTTTTGATAATAAAACATGATCAATTTATTCAGATATTGTGACAAGTGCTTGTAAAAGCGGTGTCCATTTGAGTTGAAATTGGTGAAAGGTTAAGATCAAGTTGTTAAAAGCTCTGGAAATTTTTTTTTTAAATCTTCTTCTACAAATTGTCACCTCTTCCTTGATGACCAATTTCGTTGAAAAGTGGTTAGAAAGTTGTGACCGATGTTGATATAAGTTGAATACGTAGCACAGTCAATTTGTTTATTAAATTGATATCCAAAAATTTAATCTTAAAAAATTAATCTTTAAAAATATTATCTTAAAAATATCAATCATTAAAGTTCCTAGTCACATCCCATTTAATATTTGCTTCTTGATTTTGTTTTCTCAAATACTTAATCAACCGAAATGGTTTAAGACTTATTATTATTTTATGATCGAGGAGTCGCAGTGGAGGAGTCGTCGCAATCGAGGAGTCGTCGCAGTCGAGGAGTCGTCGCAGTCGAGGAGTCGTTGCAGTTGAGGAGTCGTTGCATTCAAGGAGTCGTCGCAGTCTGGTTTGCATCCAATTGAATTGACGTCTGCAGTGAAGTTTCTTAGAATAATTGGGACTAGAATTTGGTCGATAAAAATAGTTCAAGTTTTGGCCGAAAAGATGGCGCAGCAATACAAACTTTATTATTTCCCAAGACAGAGGTTTTCTATGGCTGGAAAAGTTGTAGAACTTCGAAATTTATAAACAATTGTCCAAGATATATAGCGCATCTTCAAACAACTGAGATAAACATAGTTTTATAAAATTAGCCTGAAATTCAAATACAAAAGAATACTATTATTATTTTTAATATTATTAATCGATAATATATTATCTGAACTTATTCCGTTTTTGAATAAGTGGCCCTTTGTTTGTTGGTTGTTGTTCCTGAAAAGGGGCCTTTGTTTTTCAAATGGTGGCCCTGAAAAGAGCCGCTTGTTGTTTCTTTCAAGGTACGGTAAACGGTACGGCCGTAAATGAAATTCTATAGCGTAAAAATATAGTGGCCCTGAAAAAGGCCATTTGGGATCCAAGAGATTTACATGCTGGTACTTTCGGGATGACGTGCTTAAACCATTACACAGCGGTTGAAATTTTGCAGGTGATCAATGTTGTAGTCAGCCTAACGAAACGACTGCAGTGGAACGTGAAGACGGTGAAGCTACTTAGAGAGCCTCCGATGTCCACGTCCTTCAGGGTTCTACCAAATTTTTGGTGACCATCTCCGTCGCAAATGAAACTGCCATTTTGGATCGAAGCGAGCAAACTGGTGTACTTGGGTATCTGCAAACACGGCGTGCTCAGTTGGCTTTCCTGGCAGCAGCATTACGCAGGTGATCATTGTAGTCAAACTCAGCTGTGTAACGTTCGAAGGAGTCGTTGCTGTTGGTAATGCTTCTTATTCCGATGGCCGCGTCTACTTTCTGGGTCTTTCAAATTAGTTATGACGCCTGTCCCCACAGCTAATGAAATTGCAACTGATCACGTTCACTGAATTGCAGTATGTTTTATACTTGCAGAATAGCTAACTAGGCCCCTCCCTTTTGGAGTAGTTTTCGTCAGAGCGTTCCTAGTTGCAAGTATATGGCAGCATTCACACCAGACCAAGATGTGCTCCGACCAGCATTGAATTGGATTGTTGTGAAAGAACAACTAGCGCCACTTGACTCTTTCACACCAGTGCAAGTCAATGCCGACCGGATGACGGTGGCCTTTCCTCCGGTCGATTTGGGTGCATTCGTCGTCGTCTTCGTATTGATGCGATGCGTGCTGTTCCACTCATTCGTCGTGTCCGTTGCTCGAAAGTAAATGACGAAGAAAACGATTTGGTAAGCGTTTTTATTACCACTGATTTTCACCTCCCTTCCATTCATTGCTGAAATGGTAAGCGGTCAACCGAGCGGTGAGCTAGCTCATGCGTTGTGTGTTCGATTAACGTTCTATTGTTACGTCCGTGTTTGGGATTTTTCGTTACATGTCTGAATTTTGATTTTTTTTTTTAATGTGACCCACATTATAGAAATTTAAGACGTAGTCCTATGTCAATAT